GGCGACAGGGTGCTTGAAAGTTTCCCCTTTTGGGGGGGGGGGGTAGCGACAGCAATTCCGACAAGGCGCTGCCCCCCCACCCCAAAAGGGGAAAATCAGCAACCCCGAGGTATGAAGTACCGACGTGGAACGCGCGTCAATCATGCCTCACGCATGAGCAGTGCACCGCATCCACCACGAAAACGTTGCAGATGCAAGACAAAATGGAATTGACGTGTTTAGAAAATGTATTCATGCGTGGGCACTTGCGTAATACTGCGGATGCAAGAGAATATTGTGCCGCTAGTATCCATTGTATGCATACCTCTATGCACTATTTACTATTTAGGTGTGAGGAAGACTCAAAATGTGGCGTTTCTTTGTTGGAGCAGGAGCACACACGCAGTTGTGTCAGGTTTCGGGTCGTGGTTAACGGTTTCTGGGCGTCGGCCTGAAGCATCGACCCTCAATCCCGCGGGGGGTCAGGCTGTAAAGACTTTGGGTCTTTGACGCCTCGAAGCAGAAAAGCGAGGCGGAGTTTCCTCCGAGTCCGCGCGGTCAAGTGTCACGAGTTTCACCTTGTGGATCGAAGTGACGTCCAAGTTCCCCCGCTTTGGCGTGAAGAGCGCTTCTGCGAAACGTCTTGGTATTAGAGGCGAAACCTCCCCTCCGATAATGAGAGACACCTCTGCATACGTACCGCTGCCGACATGTTGGGCCTATTGTACATAGCTTTTTCGAGGTGGCATCCAATAGGAAAGATGGAAGTAGCTGCTCGAAGAACCTGCCCCAGCATGCTGTTGCCATTTATGGACAAAGTGAGGTTGTCTTGTGCCCCGGGTTTCAACCTATGTTTTTTTTTTCTTGCCCTTTGTTGTACCTCTACATTCGCATAAACCGCGAATGGCCTCGCGTACGTGGTATCCTCTCTGACGCCAGCCAACGCAACGACAAGCCCCTCTTTTCCCCCGTCACCCACAGAGCGTCGCCGACCTTCCACTGCTGTTTTATGCTGTGTGTACCCGGTGTGAATCAGTACAGACCACCATGAATAGCAAATGCCGGGAGGGAGACCGTCGATTTTTTTTTCGGTTTCCCCCGGAGAGGTGGTGATAGGGGGGGCAGGGATATTACCCCGGATATTACCCCAGGGACTAAATAGCAAGAGGAGTGGGGGGGGGGGGGGGGGGGGGGA